GACAAAACAGGGCACTGGTCAAGTATTTTTTCTTATGTTTTTTATTTAACTGATATATATATATATACATAATTAATGATCTATTTTCAAATGTTAATCTATTGAATCTTCCTTCTTGTGAATTATATTTATTTTACAATACCATCCTCAATAATAGACAAGAACAAACAAGTAATCAAGAAACTATTTAAGGTTAATACTTACCATTCAATCAATCCTAGTCAATTTAGATTATTTTTTCATTTAAAGTAATTAGTGTTGATTGATAGCATGTGGTTTTGGGTACAATTATACAATTCAAATATTATAGTGGGCAAAAAACCTACGTCTGTGGAATTTTGAAAATTTTGAGAATTTTTGAAAAACACAACTTTTTGTTGCATTGGGCAATGGTTTTTATTTAATTTATATAAGATAATAGTGACATATTCCATATCCTGACAGTGTTCTTACGTTAAGTTTGATTGAAGATCTCGGTGAGCTATTTATTGAGACTTGATGTAACAAATTGTGAAGTTTTATAGTGCCCTATATATACTTACACTAGGGTATATTGTTGGTTTAGGTAAATATCTAGTCGTTAGAAAGTTAATTGTTTCTGTATGTTGTTATGCTTCTTAGAAACATCAGATGCATAAATTATTATCCTGTAGATAGCTTAAATATAGTTTTCTCATCAAAAAGTAATCAAAAGAATATGTACATGATTGAACATAAAAATGTTGTACGTAATAAAACATGATTTTTTTGTACAGTTATAAATATAACTAAATCAAATAATTAATATCAAAATAAGAAAAGTTATGAATAGAACAATGTGATAAATTTTATTGTTTTATTCGATACATGTTCTTATAAAATTGTACTATTGTTTAAATTGGCAACCATTTTCTCAAAAATGTGTGTTCAAATATGGCTCAGCATAAACTTAAACTGATAACAAAATTGTCTTGAACATTTTTCCAACAACTTATATTTAGATAGATGATTTTTTTTTTTTTTTTACTTAGAAGTAAATGATCATATTTTTTTGCCAAGTATTAAGGATTATTATTCCAAATAATTTTATGCATTAAAGTATTTGTATGATGATAAGTAAAACCTGTCTAAACTGATCATCTTTGAGACACAAAATGTCCTATTATACAGGTCCGAATATTTAATAGTGTCACCTAGCTGGCATGTCTAACTTAACCTGTTGTCAGGTTACTGATTCTTGAGGGAGACTCACGGTGGCTCCAGTTTCATAAATGCTTCTAATAGCTTAACCCTTTCACCCCTAGGTAGCTTTAGTGGACTCTTCCATGCATTTATTGGGATGAGTCAATTGTGGTATACAGTGGTGAAAGGGTTAAAGTGAGATTTTTCTTTAGTTATACTTTCACTGCAAGGAAACTTACCGTATTTGACCACAAATAAGCCCCCTCTTGAAGTTAATGATGTTTGTTAGATGTTTGGTAGCTGAAGTCAGTTTAGACAGGTGACCACAGGTTAAAAGTATTTGACTGATGTATATTTCTCTCCCCCGGTCACTACCAGAAACCACCAACAAAGGTAAACAATGTCATGTTGTAACACAAACACTTCGTTGTTGACAATTTTATTTGCAAATCCCAGTTTATTTTTACTTTCTCCAAAGTTTCACACCAACGTTTTGCTTTTTGATGTATCAGCAGATTTTACTACATATTCATGCACACTACAAAGATTTGATTTTCTAAACAGATAAAATTGACAGAGTTAATGCCCTTGGTAATTATAATTGACAGAGTTAATGCCCTTGGTAATTAGAATTGACAGAGTTAATGCCCTTGGTAATTAGCAATCTGAGAAAGTTACAATAAATGCAAAACCCTCAAAAGTCTTAAAAGCAATAGTCAAAACAGACACAAAAATCCCTGTACATATGCATTATCATACTATTTTGAAGGTGCAATATGGGACATTCAGACCAGAAAAACGAATAATGGCACTTATTACCACCAGAACATAGGTGTAAAGTTTGTGTGAGAAGAAAATGCAATTAAATTATTTATTTTCATTAGATAATTAACAGCAATATCATATAACTCCAAAATTCTTTTTTTTCATTACTACACGATATGATCAAATAAAATTCTGAGCAGAAGACATCTTTAAGGTTGTAATTGACCCATTATAGAAGTGTTTGTGGTTGTGAGAACAGAATGACCACAGCTATGTACTGTACTTTGTGTCACTTGTCTATCAGAACTGTTCACAGTAACTAGTCGCCATGGACATTCCGACTTGATGTTACGTATTTGTTTTACAGGAAGTCGTCTATTTACAGGGTTTTATTTCAGATATAAGGTACCCTATACGTCATACAAGTCACACACACGTCACACACACGTCATACACGTCAATCACGTCGTACACCACAGGTTTCTGTTATATACACAAAACAAACTTAAAAATACCTCTAACCAATATCTTTTCATTTGTTAATTTAAAAATGATCATCATAATCTTTAAAATATCTTCAATATTAAAGTACTGCTGACTCAGTCTTCAGTCTCATTACGGTTAAACTGTGTTAGTTTGAACACTTCGAAAGATACATCAAAATATTGTTAATTATAATTTATGCAACAACTGTTAGTAATTAAATCATTTAAGTTACTGTAGGTTATAGCTTTTGGAAAGCTTGTTGTAACATCAGATTTCGTCATCTGGCAACCTAATTTATATGCAGTCCTAAAATTTGGCTTAGTTTTCTTCGATTTTGCATGTAATAAAATTGGTTCAACTCATAAAACATATGACATTTAACAAATAAGCAGCAAAAACCAGGAAAGACATACAATAACATATATATATAATGTTATAACAAGTGTGTAACTTTCGGTATATGACAGTTTAAATCTGCATGCTTTCTGCTTACATTGTCCGGAGTGCATGTTGCATGATCGTAGCTATATCTGTGTGCTCTACTGCACATATTGTGCCATTTTCTGGCCAGAAATTTGTTTCTGGTGATGGTTTGCTTTTAATTTCTTCACTTCAAAAAATAAAAAAAACCATTGATTTAAACTAATTAAAACGGATAATCATCTTCGGAAAAAAATGTAACTTGATCATAAGAAGTACATGTATATATCTTTTATCATTTATCGTTAATCTTGTACATGGTATAATTACCTTGTAGTGTTTATTTCAATAAATATTTGGAGGAAGTTAATTGTCCTCTGATTAAGTTTTGATTTTACAAGTTGTCAATATGATTTAATATTACTTAATTCTGTATAAAACTTGATATTGTTTATGTTTCTGAAACTCAACCTCAAATAATACATATTAACCACTGTTACACCTTCATGAACGAAAGATAAAATGTATTTGACAGAATCTGTTCTTTCTTGCAGCCTCCATAGCGGCAGATACAAAAACAGCGGGTAAAGGGAAAGGCAAGGGGAAGGACAAAGGAAAAGGTCCAGCTGTACAGGAAGTAGAGGTGAGTACAGGGTAAGGGTGGTTAGTGGGAAAAGGGTAAATGAGAGAAAGTCTTTATGATGTGACATTTAAGCAGACTAACTGATGTTGTAGCTCAAACAAGTCTGGTAATGAAAGTTAAGATCGAGTCTCCATACTACTGTCAAATTATACACCTAATCATTGGAATGTATCTATTTTACGGGCATAACAATAGCTTTCATTAATCATGCATTCCTGAAAAGAAACCAAAAACCAAAACCTTGCAAGATTTTATTTTTTTAAAAAATGATAGAACAGCATAAAAAAGTGCAACACTACCTGACTGGAATTCCAACCCTGGACCTCCGGTCAGAATATGGTAATTGCAACTGACAAATGACAGCTAGTCCCTGCATGGCCTTGTTAAGCTACAGATAAATCCCAAAAAAAATAAAGTGATATTACTGTATACTTTGAAGAAAAAAACTTCAGCGAAATGTTCTAGTGTTGTGCCTTGTGTTTGACCTCGTTTGAAACCAGTAGATAGAGTGCTGGTAGGGGTAACACTCCCATTGTCAGGGCCAATGATTGTGTCACTCCTAAAGTAATTATATAATGTATATTTTAAGGCAAACCTTAATTGGTGAAAATATGTATTGATCATCCACATCAAATTAAGTGTCATTGCTTTTATATGAAATAATTAAATTAATATGAAAGTTGACATAAATATTTATTATTTCCAATTAATATTTATATCATAACTGATCAGTCAACGAGTGAGAGAAGTCTGGACCAGCAGGCCTGTGATTAAGGCCAGTTTGTACTAGGACTGTACCTGGTTCTATGATCTTACAGACATTTATAAACATGGACTAGATATTATTTCCACAACAATGTCAGTACTATACTGTCTGGTACATCATGATGTCGTTGTCTGTATTTTTACCAGGACGCCGGAGCCTCCGACTTTGTAAACCCGCTGACTGATGCGGCCGATTTTATAGATGGACAACTGCTTGTGGCGGGGAACAGGGTTCTCATCAACCTTAACTTGTCAAGTAAGTCGTTAATTCTTCCTAAATGTTACCGGAAAATGATCTACATTGTAGTTCACGACTTGGACGAGATGGAATATTTCAACAATTGTTCTGCTGCTTTCAGTTTAACATTACTCGCATGAACATTTGTAGAGTATAAAAGCAAATTATTTGTATTGAGGTATGAACTTAAGATTTATTGAGTTGAGTTAACAAGTATATTTCAGTTCTTATGAGATACAAGGTATAAAGATACAAAAGGATGAGATTGAAAAATGGTTTTGCTGTGATTTGAGTTGAGAATTACCCACATAAAAAAGTAGCAGGGTATAACAGATTGAATTATTTATATTCAGGTATAAAAGTATAAATTATTCGTATTCAGGAATGAAAGTATAAATTATTCGTATTTCAGGTATAAAAGTATAAATTATTCGTATTCAGGTATAAAAGTATAAATTATTCGTATTCAGGTATAAAAGTATAAGTTATTCGTATTCAGGCATAGGTATAAAGTATATTTTACTTGTCAGTTACGCACTAGGTATGATTTACTTGTACTGGAGCATACATATATAATTTGTATTGAGGTATGATTTACTTGTACTGAAGCATACATATATAATTTGTATTGAGGTATGATTTACTTGTACTGGAGCATACATATATAATTTGTATTGAGGTATTAACTTCTTATAAATTTGTTTACATGTAAGTAGGAAAGTATCAATTGTTTTTATTGAGATATGAAATGTGATTTATTCGAGTTTATTCCAAAGTATGATTTATTTCTATTGAGAAACAAGTTTATTTATATTGTGGTATAAAAGAATGAATTACACGGACATGCATTGTCATTGACGTTTACTTTCTGTGACAGGGAACTGTATCGGAGAACATGGGCTAGCTGCTCTGCTGAAAGCGATGCAGTACCAGACAACACTAACCCACGACAGTAAAAGTAGCGGTACCGGGCTGATGAGGATAGGAGTATATGTAAGTACAATACTTTAGTTCTGTATAAGCAACTTAATATGGCCTCACTTCCTTATAAACATCTACATTCAGCTACAGGACTTGTTATCATAATATATTATAATGACAATTGAATTGGATTTACAAGGTAGAGGTCTTAAAACCAGACATTTGCTAATTACCAGTAAAATGCTGAAGGTAGATTAAAAACTTTTATAAGATTTACAGAATAAAAATGCGGGAACCACTCTGAGTTACCGTGACGACTGTATCAGTGAAGGAGTGAGAGGTGACGACTGTATCAGTGAAGGAGTGAGAGGTGACGACTGTATCAGTGAAGGAGTGAGAGGTGAAGTTGTTGATGACCACTATTTGTATAGGATTGGGAATGACTCAAATTTATAGTAAGGGATCCATACAAGTTAACGTACAGAAGTTCATATTATGCAGTTATAGAATGAGTATGAGGAAATAGCAAATTTATGGTCCCCCGAGGTGAAAAACGTTTTCCAGAGGCGGCAAAGCTGCCGAGGGAAATAGTTTTTTCACCAAGGGTGAACATAAATTTGCTATTTCCCGAATTACCCGTTCTATAACTCTTTTATTATAATGAAACAAATTAATTTAAGTTAGCAAATGAATTTATTAATTCATTATGATTTCTTTAAACAAATTCAAAGAGAGAAAAAAAATATTACAATTGGAAGAGCTGTATGCATCGTCGTTGATGATATCTTCATTTCTAGCATCCAAGAAATGTTTTTGTAGACCGTCACCATTGATTTCCTAGCATATTTAGTCCCATCCACTTTTTTTAAAGTTCTGCATAAAACATCAGTAATGATCAAAACGGCCTACATCGATGTCGTCATTTTCGGTGTCGTCGTTTGGTTCTGAATTGTGACGTCACCTGCGTCACGGAGAAGGCCACGCCTACCGAATATTTTCATTGGTTGAAATTTTATAAGTTCCGCCTTCAAATATTTATGAGGGAGTGGTCTCTTTCTGTCAGGGAGTAGTCCTTTTTTTGCAGGGAATAGTTCTAATTTGGGGAGGGAGTAGCCCTCAGATGTAGAGGTTTTAGCGATTTTAGGGAAATAGGACATTTTATCGTATTGTTTTTATATAGGGAAAACTCAGTAGAGGTATAATAATAATTTATAGGGATCCATACAAATTTACAGGCAGAAATTCATACAAATTTATAGTCAGGAATCCATTCTAATTAACTTACAAGTTTATTTTTAGCATTAGTAATTTTGATATCATGTTGTTTCCCCAGAAAAACAAAGTGTCGACAGACAGCGAGGTGCTGGCCAAGCTGACAGAGTTTATGATGCCCAAAGATCCGTTCTACAAACCACCGCCACAGACACCGGACGGTGACTCCAACTCCTAACCTTAAAAACCATGTGTACTGACTGCTAGATTTCCGTCCAACCTCATCAATTCATTCATCAATTTCCTGTTTAAGATTTAGAATGTTTGTTTCTCTGTTTTGTAACTTTTATATTTTGTCATGCGTTATGTCCTTATTTAATTGTTTTAATTAATTTGTCCAAAAGTATAAAAAAAAAAAATATTTCTAATTCTGTGCAAATATTTCAGTGAAATTATTCTGTAATACAGACATATGTATTATAAATTATACTTAGTGAAAGGAGATTTTTTCAGTAACAGTATTTTTGACAGGAGAAAATGGATGTAGAAGTAATACATTTCGTATCTGCTATATTAATAGTGTTTTTTTTAAAACGAACTGTGATCAAACAAAATGGCTGGTGTAACAACAAACAAGTGGATTTACTTTGATTAAGTTTATTGGTTATAAAAACTTTGGCAGGTGTCTGGGTTTTTTGTAAAATTTAATTTTTATTGATGATGTTTCGCCATGAAGCAGCTAAGTGTAAGAAATAAGCCCCCAACATTAAGCTTTAGAATAAAAGAAAAGAAAAATGATAATAGTAGGAAAGTTTGAGCAGAAAATATCCAGTTTATGAAGACGAACTTGGAGGAAGGGGAAGCGACTCCTTACACCAGATAATGTGTGATATTTCTGTGTTATTACATTATATGTATACTTACTGTATAAAGAATGATGTTAAATGTATGTAGTAAGTTCTGTGATATTTATACAATAATGTGTGAGTGTGAGAGGGAGAATGAAGGAAATGCTTGTTTTAATAGTTTTCAGGGTGTAACGCTAATGACAAATATTGGCTATATATATTTATGTCTTGAAGAAGCTTGTGAACTTCGGTGACATTCCTCAGATACTTTGTAATTGAATAATCTGGACACCAAGAAAAACGTATAAGAAATCACTGTTTTGACTTTAAACACTAATTGTATTGGTGAAAATAATTACGATTCTGGTACAAAAATTATTATTTTTCTGAAATTTTATATTGATATTCACACAAAGTGTCATAGTTTTATAGGAAACCTGTTAATAAAACATAGTAATGGCAGTATAAAATTGTTTTTATCACTTTGTGTTGATAGGAGATACAACGTATTGTAAACTTCATTATACTATAATGGGGGTTCGACGATATAAGTGAGGGAGACATAAAAAGGAATTGTACTTGTAACAAACATAGCACATCACATCATCAGATGCTGGATACTAATTGGATAACATTGACGTGTAACATGCTGGTAGTAGGTTAGTCTAGTTTAAATCTGCTATAAGAAGGGACAACCACTGTTTGCTCATACCTTTCACGGACTGTTGGCTTTCGGAACCGTGAACGCGCGCTATTAATATGGTTTGAGGGCCGATTATAGACAAGGATGGGTGCAATTAAGAACCAATTGTGTGAAATTTCGGGGGTCCTTGATATGATGTTTTTGCTGTTCTGTACATCGAAGCAGTGTTGTGAGCTTTCCTTTGTTCTGTGAGGTTCCATTACGACGCATTCTGCAATAAAGTGCTGCCGAGTCTCTGGTGCCTGGTTATTGAGTTTGCATGTACCATTCACTTCGTATTGGTTGAACGCAGCTCTGTTTGATTGTAAAGTGTAAGTTCCAGTAAATAACATGGCATTGACCTCTAATCCACGTACATCCGTTCGGGTTGGTCTCAAAGTATGTAGTAGCTACTGTGACAACACTGTCTGGAGGGTGCTAGATTTATTCGAGGGTTTTTCTAATGGAAATATACTGTTTCAAGTCCATACAAGAATCTAGGAATGCTGAATGTGTTCCAGATATGTGGGTTTAATTTGTTGGGAGACACCAGTTTCTCTGTTGAACACAGCCGCAAGAAGTGAGTACGCTGTTTTCTGCCAGTATTGATGTTGTTGATGATGCCTTGGGTCTCTGTGCTGCGACGTATCCGAGGTATACGGCATTTGTTGTTACTTTGATTTCTTTATCGTGTAGAGTGAGAGGGCTGTGGTTCCTTTATTGTTGTAGTGTAGCAGTGAACTCTTGCTTGGGTTGATTCTGTATATGTTCTGGTTACTGAACTGGTAAACAGTGTTGCCATCACCCCCATCTCTATGTCAGAGGTCGTCTGCAAAAGTGATATGTTGTGGTATTCTGATGGTGCCTATCGCTGCTCCATCGAACTTGTCTTAGAAAAAGAAAAGGCTGTTGTTGTACCTTTTATAGTACTAGTAGACAGTACTCCACATTGTTGTACCCCTTGTGATAGATTGAAGGTTTCGGAAGTATGTCCTTGACACGGTCATGTTCTCATACAGGTCTTTCAGTAACAGCCATTCAGAATCTTGAATAATCCGATCATGATACAGATTGTGAAGTAGAATTTGATAGTTAACCCCATCAAAGGCCTTTTGGGTATGCAGCGTAGTGACTGGTCATTTGATGACGTTGCCTTTGATTTCAGAATGCATTATGTGATAAGAGCAGAGTTTAAATGAGAATGTTCCTTTGGTAAATCCTGTTTGGAGTTTGGATTGTGACTTTCCGAATACCGACGTATTTTTATCATTCAGTGTGTTCCTGTATTTTCAGAAGTATAGGCGTCACACAAGGAGCACCTCATCAGTATTGTACTTAAAATGAAGGTCCCAGACTCCCTGAAGACTCCTTCTATAGTTGTTAGGGTTGTATGTAGGACCATTATTATGGATGGGAGTTAGAAACGCTTTCTTCAGAGAGTCTGGGACCTTCATTTCAAGTATGAAATTGTAGGTTTATACCATAATGTCAATGGCACACTCACCTGCTAGCTTCAGATGTCTATGAGCTATAAATCCTCGCTGATACTGATGAATTGCTCCTTTTCGAACATGTCATCTACCAGAGGACGTGCCAGTTCCTTAAAGCAGACGGCCCATCCTTCTGTGATGTCTGGACAAACATGTTATATGACATGTTGGGTGTTTGATTGATCTTTGCGACTTTGTGAGCTTGTAAAATGTTTTTGGTTTCCCTTTGATTCCATGACATTGTTGGAGAAGGAGCGAAGAAAAAACATCTCTATCGTTAGCCGGTTTTCTAGTCATAGAGGCATTCAGGTCACCACGGAGTAAGATAACATGTGTGCTGTTGAATTTCGTGATGACTTCCCGGATCTCTGCTACGGTTGCTTATATCCCCCCTTAAAATGGTGCCTCTAGATGACATGAATGTACAATGTAGTTATGATACACAAGCTGGAGTCCATGTCTTGTTTCCGGGGGCTTGGTTGTTTTCAAGTTCCAGTTTGTTTTGTATTTTATGGAAGTGTCTCCGTACCCTCGAGGAATTGTGATAGGTGGTATAGGGTATAGGTGTTTACAGCCTTGGAAACAGCAGTGTGTGCTGCATGATCTTCTGATAATTTGTTTAGTGATCCAAGTTGGAAATCGAAGAACCAGTGTTCCTGTAAGCATATTATATCACGAATTGTACTAGATTTGCATGGAAGTCTATGAAATTCGATTTAACAAATGGGTGCCCGAACGGCAGGAGAAGTAGGTGGGGCGGGCACCAATTCACACATACTGAATCATTATCAGAATCAACAGGAAATCTAAATATTTCGCATTTCGTCTACACCAGCGAACCACATTTTTTCTTAATTCCCTACCGTCAAAGCCTAAGCTGCTCTCGCCTATTTTTGCCTCGGCCGATTATTTTTGTTTCTAGTTTGAGATGATCGGGAAACCAATATGTTCTCCTGACAGTCATCTCTGTATTAGATAATTTGGATTTCCAATATTTTGGCCCGAGCATCACCGATGAATCCTAGAAGGACAAAACGGCTGTATTTGAATTGCAGTTGTATTCATTTTGGCTTACTGTATCAATTACCAAATCTAAAGGGAATCGCTTATGTATGTATTGTGTTCATCTTCGCATTGAAAGTTTATTAATTTGCTGACGAACTTATGAAAATATCATGGCGAATAATGTCTATGTCTATGCTTATTGGTTAATTTTAATTAGTTGAAGATAATTGGCAAGTGAGGAGAGGACTATGCTGGATGAAAACTGGGTACCTTCACGGGGTTAAAGAAAAGTGTAAGTGCTGGTTTGAAGAAAGTAAAATAATTGATAGAGGTGATATACTATTGTCTGAAATAATCAATGGAAAGAAGGAGGCTTTTCTGGGGGGGGGGGGGGGGGGGGGGGGTTGTATAATGGTATTCGGTAAGAATTGTGATAAGAATTGCAGGAGGAGCGAATCGGAGTAAAGTTTCTCCGTTTAGCTATCAGATCGATTTAAATTTTGTAAGGAATGGTAAACCTCTGATTTTTCCTTCTGTCTACTAAAGAGCGCCGTTCTAGACTGTTACGCATTTCAACCAGAAGGAGTTGTTTCTCAATATATAGGAGACGTAGCGAGCTGCTCTACATTGCACAAGTTCGACTTCGTCAATGGTAGTTCTGGTATAATTATGGACCTAACTTGTATACTCTCAGAAAGCTGTCACAAGAGATATATATGCCTGTTGTTTAACCGTTCGGATTCATCCTGATGTTAACTTTGTTTTAGAGCCTACATTTTTATAAAGGCTTTCCTTTTTAAATTCGATTGCAAAGGGACTCCAGGATACTTTGCTTCCGTGATATGTTGTAGTTGTTTTCCGTAAAGCACATGTGAACACTGGACAATATTTGTTGTTGTTAGAGATTGGATGAAAGTAGACATTTATCTGGATAGAAACACATATCCCATCGACACTCATACAGTGCCAACCTGTCACGGTCGTGCTGTAGTGTTCTATGTATATTGAAGAACCATCCACGAACACCATGTCAGTGGATTTATGTACGGGGGATGTCGTTTAATAGAAGTGGCAAGGGCTGCTGACTACGCCCTGATGCACCCAACCTTTTATTTCAATTGGTACTCTATATGTTATCTGTTGGTGAACTTTCAATCCAGGTGTTGACCCCTTCGTATGACAGAGTAAAGAATTAATTACTTTCAAAGGTCTTCAAAATCCTCGGACTGTTTATCACTGTCTAAAGTCTGTGTTTACCTTCTAGAAACTCTAAAGCTGACTGGCTTCCGCACGACCTGAATTTTCGAAAATCGTGTAGGGTTGGATGTTTTGTTTCTCATTATTAGCATTTATTATGTTGCTTACTGCGAGTACTATACAATAGTACAGCAAATACAGGTAATTGGTATTTTATGTAGTTTTCTTGGTTGTACCTTTTTATAAACGGATGACACATACGCTTACTTCCAGTCATTCCTCCCTCTAAAGACTTGTTAAAACTCATTTGTAGGATTGAGGCTATTTTAAGATTCTTTGAGTATCATTGTTTTCATATTGGCAGTACTTAGCTGCTTAACACTGGTATTAATCTTTCCAAACGAAGAACTACACCTTTTGCTGTTATGGTGAATTTTGATATGACATGGAAGCTTGGCGTAAAAGGCATTTTTCATCTATTATAAAACTGGTCACTAGAGAAGTTTGTTTTTCACCAAATACCGACTGGAATTCTGGGCTTTTAGTGTAGGATTATTTACCAGTTTTTTTCCATTTGAGAGGATTTTAACAAACAAAAAATCCACATGCATTAATGACTTTGATCATATGCTTGGGGTTTGGTGTTTGGGAAGAATTTTTAACTTTTAGGGCTGGTCACCAGATTTCTTGTATAATCAATGTCTGCTTTTCGGTGTAATTAGGAATGGTAGATATATATATAATCCCTCCGGTCTTAAGTTTTGCCTCTTCAAATGTTGGCCCTAAATTGTCGATTGGCGGTTAAACAATACAAAAACAATTTTGAATGTCAATTTGTTATAGCTGTTTCTCAAGAAGTTCTGAATGGAAAAATCACGAAACATTGTTTACATGACCTCTTCAGTTTCCGCTTCAAAATCGTTCGTATGTTGAATATTTAAATGCAGGATCCCATTCATATATGTTCTAATTTGAGACGGATCGAAAAACAATATTGTCGCCATTTTGAATTTGCATGTAAAATTTTGGAACTGTTTTCACTGCATAATATAAAACCTTTCCCCTGGTCACTTATTACATATATTGTGGCTTCTTCAGAATTCGACCGATTCTGAAAACAAAAATAGCCTATTGGGCCGTCAAGAATTTCGTGCGGGTATTGCGTATGAAAGTTGTTATCTCAATTACTTGGAAAGTATTGAAGTGATTCTCCTATCTCTGGTTGTGTACGCTGTAATTGGAGATAAATTAGAGCTGCATGCTAGGCAGTCATCTTTGATTTTGCATTCCAAGGTTGTTACCGCTATTTCTCATGAACTATTTAAAAGATCATTACGAAACAGTGTTTACATGGTTCACATAGTCTGTAGGTGAACATTCTTAAAATTCGGTCGATTAAGAAAATTTGGCAAACAGGCCATCTGCATGTGTATGGCAGTTGCAGATTTATATTTGTTAACGATAATTTTCCGAGAGAAAAAAAATTGAGTCGTGAAAAAGTTGTATACATGATCCTGTTTGCGCATGTTCCAATGTGAGATGGATCGCAAAACCTAACAATTTTTTCCTGAATGGTCATGTTTTAACTTAATAATCACGATCCCTTTGGAACTTGCAGATGAGCTTGTGCAAGTAAAAAGCATAGAAATATATCAAACATATGAATCTGCACAATAGCAAAACCATTATCTTTCAATTGTGGGCGCCAGGACCTCAATTATCTATTGTTTAACATACATTTATTTTGTGAATAATCAATTGCCTAAGATCGTCATAAATATTTGGTCTCTTACGGGCAATCAAGTTCGTTTAAATGAGTAACACTGACCCGCCTTTAAGGTTATAGGGTTCAATGTATCAAACTATTTAAATTTCTTCCGAACACAATTACAGTAGTTTTCATGTAGCATGTTGAGTATAAGAACTAAAATAACTTTTAATTGATAACCTTGACCTACTTACAAAATAACGTATCATATATGCTTAAATGTTTCAAAGGCGTTTTAATTAGCGATATACAATGTACTTAATGTCTGAAGATTGTGTTATCGTTCATGGAGGTAGATATCTACTTACATCATTTCAGGAACCCTTCAAATGAACACACAAAAAAACAATTAATAATAATAGTGATAATTTATTTTATCAAGCTCAACAAGCATATAAGTTAATACTTCGGCAGTAATATAATGTTAACGTAACACCTATTTACATGTATATACAGTCACGTGGTCATAAACGGAAGTGAAATGAGACACCGGGTCGATATATCGTCCCCAAGGGGAGAACCGCTACCTCTTGATACGTCCCCACACATATACAGCACACGAACCTGCGCAGTGTATATTACTGACTGATGACGTACTTCACTAAAACAATCCTTACACATGATTGGATATTGTTTTTAAATGTGAAATAAGGTATGAATCGCTGGAATTGTTATCTTCAATGTTCAACATTGTCAGCGAATGGTTATCTCCCCTTTGGACATATGGAGCTTACTGAAGGTGAATCCATTCTCTACAACAACACTTTGTCTTACCTACACATTCATTATCACAAGTTTCCGTTCTGGAAGAATTTATAATTTGCTCTGACATAGAGTCACTCTCCTTGTTTTGGAATTGAAGAAGACATATTTACGTTTTCTAAGATGAGACAAATGTAACTTCAATTGTCATGATGTTTGTCTAGAGTCTCAATCCCTTTCTGAAAATCGATTTAATTGAATCTTCAATCATTTCGGTTTATTCCTGGTTCAATAAAACGGTCTTTCTTTCGTTACTACGATTACCGTTGCTGAGGAGTCTGTTCAGACGTAGTTCGTTCTATTTCCTTTACATATTGTTTCGAATCCCGTAGTATTTTTAGAGTTGGTTCCCTCGTTCAGATACTGGCACACATTTCACTTCATTCTCTTGCCTTTCAAGTCACCCACGCTCCTTGTGAAGAACTGACCTAGAATTGTTTTGTTGGCGAAGAGGTATATTTGTTGTTGGAGACTTTGCATTGGGTTGTCTTCCTTGGTTTGTATATCGTGTATATAGAACTAGAGGTATTTCCCTTGTAAAGGAATCGACAGAGTTAATTTCTGTGGCTGTGATATGGTCTGCAGTTTCTTTTCTTATCGTGAAGAGGACTACACGTACTTTCCTTGTGGTAGCTTTGACTCACCAACATTTGCTTTGTATCTGCAAGAAATAAAATTAACATTTTCAATAAAACGCTGGACTAACAACACCAAATATTTCCTTATATACTAACATGGTAGTGGGTGCTTGTGAATCGACATGTACCAACTTCGTCTATTGATAACCCGATAGTAAAATCAAGGTTTCCGACTCCATTGTCCTAGTACGTGTAATGACCATGTGCAGGAACATGTGTGATTGTGTCACAAACGTTCATAACCATTACATAACACGATTATGTCCAACCAACTGAATTCTGACCGTTTTTGATGTCTCATGAAGTCTCCAAAAATTATACGACATTATATATAATAAATCATACACTAAATTGAAGAAAAATAAAATTTCCTTTCCGGCGAGATATTATCATTGGTAATGACACAATCATTTGTTTTCTGGACTACTAGATTTAGCAACCTTGATTATATTGCAAGTGTAATTAGGAGGCGAGAACCTGTGGTAAACCCAAACTGTTTCTGGTTATAACCGTCTTTACATGAGAGGCTTGAACGCTGAAACGTTCTCTCTCGAACACCGCGTTAGACATTGTCTGTTGGTAGATTAACCATTCCTCACCTCAAAAAACCATATTTAATCATGCTCTTTACCATTATATATAAAGCTCCTTATCTCAAACATCCAATTGAGGTGTTCTACACTAGTAGGTATAAACTCCCTTATCTCGAACATTTTCTACAGTATGCATTTTCTGATCGCTTACTTGTTGTTGTAGCATTGCTTAAATAAAGGGTTGAGTTCAGTAACACGTTTGTCCAGCAGTCCGTCCGATCGTCTGTCCAGCAGTCCGTCCGATCGTCTGTCCAGGAGTCCGTCCGACCGCCCGTCTGATATAGATCCGTCAGTGAACGAAGACTTGAGCGATTGAGTCGACCTGTGAAATTATCGTTAAGTGATTTAGACCGATCGTCGGCTCTATCAGTAATAAACTGCATATAGAAGTTCTACAAGATTTCTTCGGACATGTCGGTAAGCCGAATTCTACCGAACTCCTACGGATATTGCAAAAAGAAATTCCACAGGCTTACTAAAATTTTCCCACATTATCTTGTATATTACTTCAGTGGATTTTCATCATTTAAAATTAGTACATGACTACTCTCCCCTACGGCAAAACATTTTATTACCACTTATTGTTAAAAACAAATTCAATATTATGAATTTACACTGGCGTAACTGATTCAGTTCAAGGGGAAATCGCGGAGAAAGAAACACCACGAGGGATACTTTTAAAGTAAACTGAAAAAAATCCTTTCTTGTGTATACATTACCTGTTCTATTACGACAAAATGATTAAGGTGGAATAGGACCATCCTCGATATCAAGGGGTTACGCTCACTTTTGCCCTGGAATATGTCATAGCAAAATTGAAGGCTCGGTGTGCAGCACCTTGTGGGTGCGACAAGAAGTCTAGTTGGGTCCTTTGATGTACATCAAAAGAATCTCGCGGTCGCGTAACGGTAAAAATTGACAGGATTTGAAGTCGGGCATCGCTCCTTTGTAATCTTCAAAGGACAAGTATCAGCCTAGTGATTGGTCAGGTTTTTTTTACCTGACACCAATAAAATAGCTGGCCGCGTGCCTTCAATTTTGCTATGACATATTCCAGTGGTGTAGAGAGCGAAAGTGAGCGTAACCCCTGGATATCGAGGATGGAATAGGACAGGTTTCAGCATTTTCCGGAACAAATTTTAGAACAGGTTTTAGCATTCAGGCCCAACTTCAAGCCTGTCTCAATTCGGGTATAATCACATCCACGGACAAATCCAAATATTATAATATAAATTGAGAGCGTCTCGCATATTTTATCACGTCTGCCGAACACCTGTTTAAATGGTCATATAATATTTTCTATTTAGGAATGAACCAATTATCACGGACCATAGTTTCTTAACGTGAATTGTTACGACGACATAACATGTGATCCCTTTTATACAGATGACAAAAATAAAAATGCTACGTCTATATCGTTTTTTGTACTATCAATTACAGAACTTCTGCTTTCAGGACGCCTAACAAATTCAAAATAAGGAGAAAAATCCCAATTAAAAGGGAAAACCGACCAATAGAACTAAACAATAACTATCCTTGTCCGTCTACCATTAAATCTCCTGTTCGATGTCCGTCAGTTTGTCCGTCTACCATTAAATCTCCTGTTTGATGTCCGTCAGTTTGTCCGTCTACCATTAAATCGCCTGTACGATGTCCATCAGTTTGTCCGTCTACCAATAAATCTCCTGTTCGATGTTCGTCAGTTTGTTCGTCTACCATTAAATCGCCTGTTCGATGGCCATCAGTTTGTCCGTCTACCATTAAACCTCCTGTTCGATGTCCGTCAGTTTGTCCGTCTACCATTAAATCTCCTGTTAGATGTCCATCAGTTTGTCTGTCTACCGTTAAATCTCCTGTTCGATGTTCATCAGTTTGTCCGTCTACCATTAAATCTCCTGTTCGATGTTCGTCAGTTTGTCCGTCTACCATTAAATCTCCTGATCGATGTCCATCAGTTTGTCCGTCTACCATTAAATCTCCTGTTCGATGTCCGTCAGTTTGTCCGTCTAACAATAAATCTCCTGTTCGATGTTCGTCAGTTTGTCCGTCTACCATTAAATCTCCTGTTCGATGTTCGTCAGTTTGTTCGTCTACCATTAAATCGCCTGTTCGATGTCCATCAGTTTGTCCGTCTACCATTAAATCTCCTGTTAGATGTCCATCAGTTTGTCTGTCTACCGTTAAATCTCCTGTTCGATGTTCGTCAGGTTGATCACCATACAAGGTCACCGAGACGACACGGATTAAGCTATGCTCTTCACGTGCATTGTTGTAACGAGCTTGGTATTAATTATTATTTAGCGACGAGGCACATGAAGAAGACGTGGACTGGTCAATGAAACCCTGCTTGTTGCAACAACGCATGTGAAAATCACAACTTAATCCGTATTGTCTTCGTTGCTTTGTATGGTGAACCCCAACCAGGAGGTTTACAGGGAAACGGAGCGAATAGTTTATTCTTATTCTTAATGACCGGCATTCCTCTCTTGGCGCTGAGAGATATTTTCTCCGTTTCTCTTGAAGTCGCCAGGTGTCCTGACACGTAGCGTTATATTTTGTTGTCCGTGGATAGGAAACGCCTGCAGTGTCGTCCGTAGGTACAGTTCCACTTTAGGTAACAAGCTGGGATTATTGTAAGTGATTATTGGTTCATTCTAATTCAAGCAAACTGTAGGACTATTAAACCAGATGCAGACGTGTGACTAACGCGATAAATATGGAAGACTTTCTTACTGTAAATAAACAGATGAGTTTGTCCGTCGATGTGATTATACCCGGACCGAGCAGCCTAAACGTTGTATCTGAATGCTTGTGAAATCCGTGCTATTCTAAATACTTAAACCAGTTCCATTCCAACTAAATCATCAATAGGCTATGCATCATTTTATAACAGAAAGGAATTGGTCAGTTTACCTTAACAAGATCCCTCGTGGTGCAGGTTTTTGAGCCAATTTCCCAGTAAACTGAATGTTTAGAGGTCACATTATTCCCTACATTGCAATTATTCATTATTTATAGCTGTGCATAGTGCAAAGCACCCCATCATCGCACCACAATTGCTTCTAGCAATGGGCTTCACAGCCTTGTACTACGAATAATAAAACTCACGCTCTGTCGTCGAAAATATCCGAACCTCGATCGGTGTCCGGACCCGTTTTTAGAATATAACTTCCGCTGTACTCGGTAAAGCTGTAAGAACAAAGACGGTTGTTAGGCGACGAGTTTCATTTTCCCAAGTAATATACAATAACTTAGGTGCTTTCGTACCGTTCAAAGTATTACCTTTATATAATTAACAATGCAATTCAGGTATTTCAGTATCGAATTATGAGAGATATCATTTGGTGAAGCTTGTATGCACACTTACGTTTTACGAGACAGTGCTGTCATAAGGCTGGCGTTGAGGCCCTCTGTGGAGTTTGACCGGGACAGGCTTCCTCTGGAAGGATAACAAGACAAAGAATTACAATAGAATTCCACATGACATATCAACACCACTAAACAGTCACATGACACCTCAACGTTCAGACGAACTACCCATACTTAAACTGATGACACAAAAGCGCCATAGTACCATCACAATGTCGGTGCGATTTTTGAAAGAGCGCAAAACGACATGTAGTTTATTTAAGGATTTTGTAAATTATAAAACAAGCAGTTAGTCAGTTGTGTCCTGTACCTTTCAGTCGATCATGCCGGTCACCAAGCTATCTAGTGTTGGCTTATCTTCAGTGATCAAAATAAGTAGCTCGAAACAGAGGGACAATTAGGTAAATAAAATTCATCTCAAATTGTGAGGGACAAATTAATTAATTTGTCATCCTTCTTAATAGGTATGGCAGTTATACATACAAAGGGAGAAAATCAAAAGCGTTCGTATGTAACTGCGTTTTATAAAATGTTACTTAAAAGACATTTTTGTCCTTGTTGAAGAATTATGAATGAAAAAATTAAACAATCTATTTGCTTTCAAACCACCAGTTAAAGTGATCCGACCAGGCGTGACGTCACTCCCGCCCAGTGATCCATTTTGTATCAAAAAATGTTTAAAGGCGAATGATGCAGGCCAGAGGCGCATGCGTGTCACAGCGGACGAGTTTGATACATGCTGATGGAGTACTGGCCAGGTGTTTAACAGTACGAACTACTTACCGCGGAGGTTTGTGGTCAACTGACTTCAAATCACAGAACTTATAGGAACATCACAGGGGCAGATTTCATTTACAGGATTTTAGCTAATTCGAGTTTGTTGACAAATTTTGAACTTGATTGTTAATTTCAATCAGTCTGGGTTTGTTAATAGAATAGTATTCAGCTTGTGTCTGTTATCAAAGCTTTAAATAGGTTTGTTGTGAAGTAAAAGTTCCAGGCCTTACCTGTCGCTAGGTAGACATGAAGGTAACGACAATGTGGAGCCTCTGAAGGTCCCAAACGAGGATTCCTTCCACAGCGCCACCTGGTGACTGTCTGACGAGTAGAACGTGCTTTTTGTATGATTACTGGAGGTTTCCGACCAGTCCGACTGTGTCGAGGATTGCGATTGGTCAGATTGTGTTGATGACTGTGATTGGTCAGAATCCATAGAAAGTGTATATGGCGCATACGCACTGTTTAAGATAAAGACAACCAATATAATATTACCGTTGACACTATAACGATACATATTTTGCTGTAACTGGACACAGATCAGTAGCGACGATCGGCCCAGATACAGCACCTACAAGTAAATAAATAGTCAACATATAGGTAGTGTATACCGACCTTACAATTCAGCATTTCCCCAATATTTTCACTCAATTTTACATATTCGACAATATTATGCAAACAAACCTGGATTATGTCCATTTTATCAAGTACATAAGTAACGAAACACATTTATTCCAGGCCAATAAGGTAAGACCGAAGTAATACAGGCTTTACATTTGACTGTTCCTTTGCACGTGCAAACACTTCTCACGTGGTCAGACTGGTATACGTAGTAACTGTTTGTTATAAAGATATGCACATTTAGTTTTATAGTGGTCACTTTTGGAACAGCGTTGCGCGTGCCTATAGGACTGGGTCACGTGCTTTTCCAGTAATTCAATTGTTTTGAAAATAACATTTGTCGCTATATCACTCCATTAGGTCGGGGATTAGGAAACGTGACCGTTAAGTGCTTTAAATATGGAAACCATCTGCAGCATCGGACATTTTCTTTTTTAATTGTTCCTCGACTTTGAGACAGGAAAGCGACTAACATAGATCTGCTGTGCCAGTTGTAACACTAGGGATCCTTTTATTATCTATCATTCTGGCTTTTTTGTTCCTTTTTCTGATACCTAAGTTGGCAATATCTCGCTTGTGGCATATCCTTAAATGACCCTGTAAACCAAAATCCAACTTCGCCCGAGCAAGGGAGGTTATAGATTGTAGAATTATATCCACTGGGCACGTATTCATGAAACCGTTCTCATGCTCAAGCATGGATTCTGTGCTTAAACTGACTTTCCTGTAATTTGGTTAATCTGTGTCAAATGATCAAAAAGTGAACTGGAAACATTGAAACAGTATTCGGCTCTAAGTCTCTACAAAATTTTCCAAATCATTGACAAAATAAGTTTTTTTATATTAATTTATAACCAGAACAAAAATTAGGCTTGAACACAAATCCATGCTTGAGCATGGGAACAGTTTCATGAATACGTGGAGTTACTGCTCTCTGATTGACGTTCAGCTCTAAATAGGTGGCGGTAAGGACCACTTAGTACGATGTAGAAATAATATTACTAAGTGAATTTTTTTTTCGCTACCGTGTCCATTCAGCCGTGTGAATCTCCCATGTAATAGACACAATCTTAATATGAACTTACCTGTTGGAAAGACTTAAAATCGATACGGTAGAAAGCTTATTTGCCACGTTATCGCGTAATGAAGAACAATAGACACTTCACTGCATGTATGTTTTGTTACAACGAACCACGCACGTGCAGCGCTCTTCCAAAAGCCTCCCTCGAATGGCAAATGGAAGCGAGGGAGCCTAGTGTTACCGGTCTTGGACGAATAAACATTGTCTACCGGCCTTCGTTGATTATTTTCAAACTTTTTTCAATTCCCATTAACATTCCAACATAATACAGAACCATCTATTGATTATTTTCTTATATGCTCTATCACATTGGTAAATATTTTTAAATTCTGCTGACCTTATGAATTACCGTGTACCTACCTTTCATCTCCTGGCTTCTCGTCGTAAAGGTCTTGTGTCTGGATTTCTGCTTTTGGTTTATTCTTTTGTACTCGGATCCTGTAAATTGGCATTGCGAACCTGAGAAATACCGCCAGAATCGCCAGCAAGCCCACCGTTATGGCCGCCCCCATGATCACCTGATCCTGAATTGAAAACGAGGCTTCAGTTCTATCTAAGACCGGATATGTGGTACTCAATGTGTCTGATAAGTTCGTTACCGTGATACTTCCGGTTATGGTGGATAATTGCACTGTCTGGTTTATTTGACGTTCCGTGAGGTTATTCTGTATATGATGTGGTACACTCATGGTCGTTTCCACTGAGGAAGCGTCCGTAACATTTAATGTATTTATTATCTCTGTCACATTCACATTGCTATCCCCAATTGTCTGTTGGATGATGGAAGCCAGGGAGTCCGACGGTAAAGTACCCATACCCTGTAACACAAAATTAACCAATGAATGTGGACGCAAACCCAAATAACGTATCACAAACCTTTTCAACTTGTTATAACATACGAAGTATTTGTAAAGCACAACAGACCCCGGAGACAACACATTTTGCTACATTTTGTTTTGTAGACAATATGTATGCAGTTACTAACACAGTATTTCATGTTTACATAACGATGGCAGCGATCTGGATCTAGCATCTCTATCACATGTATGTGTGATACCTCATTACGTATACTAAAGCATCTACAAATAAACCTCAATATCCGACCACTAAGGCTTTCGACTATTTATTGTTCGCCTGTTCGTCTTAAAGTAATTGGTTTTCGGCACATTATCAAAACTTACAACACTAGTTAATTGCCTAACAGAAATAGGTTTATATGACGTAATGTGACGTATATTAGTTTAAATTGACACAGTGCTCCTGTCAAGACAGCTTCGAACAGATCACGTGATTAATGGTATGACGTCACCTGTACACAATGCCACACCAACAACCGGTCAGTGAATGACCCAAATTAGACACATACGTTACACACGTATAGTCAACTTGCATGATCAACACCGCTATATAATTGTTATAAGATGGCTGTTAGATACTAATATAGAAAAAGTTTATGGTGTTTTAACTGTCATTTACCGGTTTGAATGCAAACATTTGTATGTGTATTTTATGGTTAATATATATATAGAAGCTATTAACGGCCATACCGGTATATTAACATGATGAATTATTAACTATCTGTCATTTATTTGGAAAGCTGTCTATAGCTAATTACGTCTTTGTTTAGAGTGTGTGTCGTTTATGAAACAATATTGACGAAACTGCACTCAAACAATCTTGGTCTATAGCGTGATTGATTCAAAGTTTTTCGCTGTCGGACTGCTAAGCGTTACACTGACATATGCAAAGATGGCGCAATAAACAAATGACGTCACACAATCTTCACTATGTGTGCAACTTCAAATTGGCCGGTTACTACACAGAATTAGATTATATATGTAACTCAAATGTAAATATACAGACCAAAAGATAGCCAAACGGCTTTCCTTGAGAGATGAATCCCCTGTTAAGGCGGTTATGACGTCATAGTGATTCTGTTGAATACAACTTGTCTTTGTAGGTATATGGCTATTCCATGTATTTGATAAAAAGGTATGCCTTATGCCGTGGGCCATATATTGAAGAAACTCAATCATGTTCTCTGTACCAAACGCACTCGTACGATATTGACTTTTTCGATGGGAAACACATGTATTTAAGATTGAAGTGTGACGTTGCAAAATATTCTGACGCGAAATTGAAGTCATGAAACCTTGATACTAGTATAGTAGTTATCAGGTAAGAGTGCTTACAGTGACTTGAACTGAAAAATATTTTTTAACATTTGTATAACTAATTATATTTTCTGTGTTATTGAAAAATGACAAATAGAAGCATTGCTTTTTTTCTTAATCTCAAAATAAAGCAACTCTAAACTTCAAGTCACACACAGGACTGTCACGTGTGTGTAAGTAAACACGTGCTTGATAAAACAGAGTAACACTACGGGAAACCATATCACCGTTAAACGCTGGAAAAAGACCGAACAATTGCATTTCAATGGTTTCTCAGTATTTTAGAATATCAATAGATTCATAAACGATTCACATTATCAAAATGAATAAGTACACACTGTATTTAAGTAATACCTAGTGCAATCAGACGGAGTTTGTGATTTCCAGTTACCATTAATAGTATAAGGATATCATAGAAAAACATATCAGCACTTAACTACAGGTGTGTCACATGTGTATTTTCATGTAAGTCACGCGTGTGTACAAGTAAGGTCCACATGCATAAGCACATGTATTTATATGTACATATATTTGTTTGGCTCACAGTCATTATGGCATGCAGGTATGTATAAGTATGCATTATACAGGTAAGCTACTTGGACGTAAACGTTTACGAAAGGTGGCCGTATCCACTAACATTACATAAACACGTCTCAACAATGTTATATTACATGTTTTATGCAACATGGCGAATGACGAATGGGTGTGAAATGCCGACTTCCGAGTTCTAATAGACAATAAATGTGCCCCGCCCGACTGTAAAACTCACAGAAACTGGGACGAACCGCGTTTCAGGTTGGTTACCATTTTTTTGGAAACATCAGTCATATACATCTTGATTAACACAGATCCCCACTAGCCCTTTACTAACGTAATGTTAAATGTATGAGTGTTACTTCTTCGTTTTAAGTTATTAATGTATGACAACGTTGTTGTGTGTTGTATTAAATCATTTCTAATTCGTAACTTACAATGTGAAGTGCATATTTGTTAATTGTATATTGCATCATCTTTACTTCACGGTAAATAATACAACATCTGCAGTATTACGCTAGCTAGACCAGTAGTCATTGTATGTTCGCTGTTTCTGATCAGACAAGATATCTCCACATTGTCCCCAATTACAACACATTGTCCCCAATTACAACACATTGTCCCCAATTACAACACATTATTAAATATTCGCACAAAACAGGATTTATTTTAAAAATCATGCATCCTCGCAAAAATATTATTTATTCTCGAGACGTCCTTATTTATGGGATTATTGTGCTGATCCTTGTCATGCACTGAATATATCACCGTCCTTTTGACTAGGTGAAGCCAACACCCTTACGATGTCCAGACAAACATGTTCGCCTGTCTCCGACAAACCTGCACATCGTAATAAATACACGATACAACTACAAATGAATCAATGCTTTTTCTCTCTCTAATAAATTGGTGTCCAAACGCCACAGGTTGAAAACTGCATAAAAATGTTATTTTACCGTAAGACCTATTTTTCAAAATATTTTGTTCCGTTTCGACAGGTTATGCATGCTTAGGTTCGCAGTAATAATTCCTCGTTATTGTGTTTGTTGGAAATGTAGTTCTTTCGCACATCTTGGTACAAATCTCTAGATCTACCGAGTGCATTTCTAAAAGAACCCCACGACGGCATTGCAGGTCCTAAGCATTCTCCATTGTTGAAATATCCGATGTTCACATAAATATTACAATCATGTATCAATAATAAGCCTTGACTTTACCTCTTGGAAGATAGCTAACATAGGCCACTCTAAAGCGTTTTACAGTACAAAGATTTACAATCAATACATTTTGAGGAATTCACAGGAGCTGCCTAATCAGGCTCTAACTACAAGTCCTATGCCACCTGGCTTATATCTCCCTATGTGTGTATGCCTGCGTGTGTGCTGGAGATGTCATGTAGAATGTCTCCTAGAATGTGCACGGTCATGTATTTGACCGAGTGTGCTAAATTTGATGGGGATACCATATTTTTATAAATGCAATAAAGTCCGTTTGTAGTAGCTGTGTGTGTCATAAACAAACCAGATACACTGTTTGACCTTCACATATCAAAATATCTTTGAGACAATATTTCTCTTTTTCAAATGCACGACAAAAGTGATTCGGAGGCAAAGTTACTGCTTACGTAAATCCGTCCCAATATTATTCGTCAGGACGTCAAAGTTATTAATATATACAGTTTGTTCGCTGATTTACCGTGTAATGTAAAGAGACACGTGGAATTGAACTTTCAACATTTAAATGTCGACATTGAGGTCTGACCCGGGCCCGGTTGTTACTATTTGTCATCTTCAATCCTGCCCAGCGAAACAAACCTGGAGGATTAGACAACTATATTAAAGTATAACAGACATGCCCTAGAGTGTCTGTGATGTTATATCACATCGTCAATTTAACAAGTTGTCACAACAAGCGTATGTCTGATTGAGAAATAGTCATAACAAGCGTGTGTCTGATTGAGAAGTTGTCATAGCAAGCGTGTGTCTGATTGAGAAGTTGTCATAACAAGCGCGTGTGTGAGTGAGAAGGGCGGTTTACACGATCACACCTGGATGACTTATTTACGAGCCGTTAATGTCACCTAACATATCATTTGACGACAGCCACGCGTTGTCAAATTACACAAGATGTTGATAATGTTTACAGACGTACAGAAGAATGTTTAGACACAAACCTAAAACAAAATTTTATATAAAAAAAGGTAGAAAAAAAACCCACCAGAATGCCGTTGTGGCCAAGAGCGCCGCGTGGAGGACATACATGTTTACAGAACGTCGTTTTACAAATTACTATGACTGAAGAGAAATGTACCCCTTTTTTTGCTGAAAGAGACATAACTGTAAATATGTCTCAGGAGAGAAAGATGCATATTTGCCAGAGGTAAACATTAATGTGCAAGATAAATAGAAACGCTTACGCCTGTGTTGGACTAGCATCACCGTAACACACCCAGGTGCTGAAAGAGAGACATAAGGTTGGACACACAAACTGAATTTCTTCTGTTAGCTGGTGTTCTTCCACAGATGTTGGTTCAAGTTTTTAAAAAGTTCACTGTTTATCTGCAGACTTGGGAATTTAAAAAGAAAATACATACTTACACCCCACTTCATTATCATCAACTCTTTACTCTGTACATTTTTTTTCTGTATTTATTACGAACACCAACTCAAACAAGTCAGTATTGTCCCTTGGCAACAACTTGCTGTCTGCTTTATAGGATATTTTTCAATCATAACATTTCTTCTCCTTTTTTTCTATGTCGTTTGCTTCTATTCTATTGACACAATTGTTTTCGGCTTTTGCGTCCATGTGTGTTTGACACCTGTATTTATTTTAACGTTTTGTGTTGCTCTTGATATTGCCTGTATCATTTTGTATTTGATTCAATACTGACATATTCCGATGCTTTTTTGTCTTTTGACGATGCAATAATCCCATGTCCATTTTGTATATCTTTCATAATCCTAAACTTACACAACGCACCACGATACAACACAACATTAAACAAAACCGTTAAGTCTACCTTGATGCAGTCATCCACATACATCACATTTCACTCTAGACACGTCATTTTTTTTCTTCAAACGACCATATCATAATTCTCACACGAAATTCTCAAAATGATGTAGCTATAAATAAGAAATGAAAATCGCTGAGCTATAAAGAAGTCTTACTCCAGGTAGGACTTACCTGGTATGTCTGATCCGTACGAGAGTTACTGCTACACCTGTACGCTACTGGAGTGTGAATGAATTTAACTATAGTCTGTTGTTTTCAAAGATTAGGTCACGGGGAATGCACCACTACACATTAAAGTATGATGTCACTTTCGTGGTTTTAAAAATAGACCAGGAAACCTCCCCCACTAATAGAGTTTTCCGGAGGCCTTTCGTGGGTTAGGCAACTTGTTTATGTTTATTTTGTTTTTCCATTTCCAGAATAACAACATCTATAATTGGATAATAATTAGTCCACTTACCACGTGAGTGAGGATGATAAACATTAAGTATTCGAAATTTAAGTAATAACTTGATTCAAGAAACTGTTAAGAGAAGTCATATATTATGAATATATAAGCTGTATCACAGTCTTGTTATACACGTCTTGTTTCTGTATAATGGGATTGAGGATATACTTTACGAAGAGTTATATTCTCATTTCATTATGTAATATTTAGTAATCGTTCTACCTTCATGTTGAGGTTGTGTGAATGACTTTGAAGTTTTGTTATTTCTTAGAAATTTGGCTAGCTTAAGGCTTATTTGTATAATGTCATACACAATTAAATCTTGCTGAGCCCGCTAAGTAACCCGAGGAAAAGCTCTAAGTTTTTCCCCAACTTATAACTATTTCATGAATTTGTTTGGAATGGAGTCTATTGCATATGTTCTCCGCCATTGTACAAGATAGTTGTGAAGTATTGATCGATATGTATATTTCTATATGCCTAAATGCAAAGTGCATATGAGGATTCAATGGTAAACCCGTTTGTCATCCCTAAGGCCGAGCTATTTTCTTATGGCGTAACAAAGAATTTTCGTGGAGTGTGATAGCTCTATTTCTTTCCCTGCCTAAACCATGCATGTGACCTTATCATTGTCAGTGACCTTGCGCCAACCATTTGAAATTGTCCCTACACCTTCCTGTGAACATGTCTTTATATTCTGCTCTTGTCCCCGCCATGCGACCTTGCCCTACGCGACCTACGTGGCCTATAACACATGTATTCATCCCTTTGTCATTTGACCCCAATAACAGGTTTGACCTTATCGCTGGCCTCTGTCCTTGTCCCCATCATTTGACAGTTTTCCTTCCTCGCCACCCCAACGTCTTGGCCATGCCCCGCCCATCACTATGGCATGCTTTAACATTGTCATACAAGTGTTCAATCGTAGAAAGGAAGTTTTGGTAGCAATGTACAAAGGCGTTCATTTATATATGTTAATTGTCCAGAAACACCATATCTGGCTATTTCTGCATTTATTTAGCAACAAAACGCAGTTTTGTTGCTTAAGTGTGTGATTTACGCATGCGCAATGAATAATCTGCATCAGGAAATATAGCGACACTTAACCAATATGATGTTTATAAAAGAAAACTGGTAATTAAATTCAAGTTTATTTAACGCCCAAAGACCTATGTCTGGTACAATTTTATTATATTGTTAGGTGTATATATATATGTATTGCTACGAACTGGACAACTGCAGGGACACACTGAAAAGTTGACAACTACAGGACACACTGGTTAGGTGACAACAACTGGACACACTGAAAAGTTGACAACTACAGGGACACACTGACTAAGTGACAACTACAGGACACACTGGTTAGGTGACATCTACAGGGACACAATGATTAGGTGACAACTACAGGACACAATGATTAGGTGACAACTACAGGGATATAATGATTCGGTGACAACTACAGGACACACTGATTAGGTAACAACTACAGGGACACAATGATTAGGTGACAACTACAGGACACAATGATTAGGTGACAACTACGGGGACACAATGATTAAGTGACAACTACAGGACACACTTGTTAGGTGACACCTACGGGAACACAATGATAAGGTGACAACTACAGGGACACACTGATAAGGTGACAACTACAGGAACACTGAAAAGTTGACAACTACAGGGACACACTGATTAGGTGACAACTACAGGACACACTGATTAGGTGACATCTACAGAGACACAATGATTAGGTGACAACTAGAGGGACACAATGAATAGGTGACAACTACAGGGACACAATGATTAGGTGACAACTACAGGGACACAATGATTAGGTGACAACTACAGGGCACAATGATTAGGTGACAACTACAGAGACACACTGATTAGGTGACAACTACAGATGTACATGCAGGGACGTACTGATTAAATGACAACTACAGGACACACTAATTAAGTGACAAGTACAAGGACACAATGATTAAGTAACATCATCCCTTTACAAAGTAGATTCTGTGTATACAGGTATATATAGATCTATACGCGACGGCCTGAAATGTCACAACTCAGCACTTAATTAAAATAATTTACCATAACGTAAAAAAGATTAAACAAAAGTATTGCACTTTTATAAAAGATCAAAAAAGATATCCTTTGAGTCAGTATTTTGGGGGACATAAAGTCATTTGAGTTAGGAAAGTAAAAACTTGAAAATTATGTGTCTGTTAAAAAAATAGGAATTAAGTATAACCCCACATCTACCTCCACCCCCATAAACATTTTAATGAATAGTTTAGGGCGGGGAGACGATTATTATGAATAAATAATATCAAACAAATACCATCACATCATTACCACAATGATGTAAAGCTTGTAATTCCGCCATTATTGTCGTAGTAACCTCCCTACATAACAACGAGTGTATGACGTCATTGGTCGGCGGTTGTCGTAGCCTCGGTGAGTAATGGCGTTGGAGTGGGCGGGGCGGGGCGGACGTTATTTAGCAAGAGAACATACACGCTAACACGATACTACCGCAGTCAGTCTGTTTTTACTCCCGTTTATAAATACAATCGGCTGATATTAATATGTAGTACAGAAATATGTTCAGACTCTACGCTATGATCAAAATGCGGATGTGCCACTGAAGGTCGCTGAAGTTAAGATTTAACACGGGGCGACGTATCCAAGCTAAACAATAACGAGCCGGCGAGGGGTGTGTTTACTAATCGGTCATAACTACCTCAACATTGTCTTACCTTGTTTGTACGTCAATTTAAACAAATGTCAACAAAGAAAAGAAAAAAACGGAATTAATCATCGGCAGATTTCAATATAGCGACCCACGTACGTGTTTTATATGACGAATTGTTTGTCAGATCTCTACGTAATTGACTTTAATGTTATAACAGACCGTTTATCACCACGTTAATAGAGATGAAGGATTATTATTAGGCAGCTGATGGATCACAATGTCCACAATTGTTTCTTTTATTTCCCAGAAATACTGAATGAATCCTTTCAAATGTGAGATAGATGTTTGTAAAAAGTATTTAATGACCAATGATGTATTCTAAGAAACTGCTTCTTTTTTTCAGATGAATCTCACTACTAAATTCCCGACAAATTACGATTAGCGCTTCTTTTAATTTTACATTTTTTAATTTGATATTTAGAATACATTTTTATAGTAAAGTAACCAGAGTTACCTCCCCTCGTTGAACTCATTCACGGTCGCCTTATTTAGACAGTCACTATGTTCTATTTAAAATAAGAATATATTTGTTCATGCAGTCGAGTTAAATACACATTTTTTATCGGAGAATTTTCATTCTGAGAACTATTTTTGGTGCTTTAAGTTCTTGGCACGTGCTACTACGTAATTTCAGGGTTCGAGGAATACGTCACATATTTTTCTGAGTGACAAATCGTGCCTTACCAAAATGGCACACATCAAACGAATTTGAAACCAGGATTTATGGAGGATTGGTCTTTATTTCAAATACTCCACGATTAGCTCAGCACGACCTCCCGATTCATCACTTTTATCAATCGACATTATAAATTTAGTTGAAACACAGGAACTGGACGCAATTCACTGTGTCGAGATCAATCAACTATCTATTAAGTATGCTTAAATAATCTTATCCTATACGTAAAATATAAAGATCTTGTGTCCTTAATTTCGTGAAATGGAAACGATTTTAGCATTCTTTTTATCAATTGGTTGAGAATTTTGCGATTATTTTGAGAGAAAAAAACGCGCATTTTCTAGGTCAATCTCAAGTCTAAAATTCCGCCATCTTATCTATGTATATCATCTTTATGATATTGTGATATCATTATAATTCGGTTATCTGTGCCGTTTAAATTATCACTTCGTGACTTCACAAAAGGTCGTATTAACATGTTCACTGAATAGAGAAATAATCATGTTGAAGAGATGTGAGACAACATTTAACGGTCAAGTTTAACGATGTTTGTCTTACTGCCGCTCATTTGATAAATACTGATAAATGTTATGTGACACAACAGTTATAAAAGTGTGATAAATAAAGGTCCCGTGACTTTTTTATGAGCTGAAATACCTATTATTTACGCCTTTTTCATTACACAACAATACATTTATAATTATAGTGCATGCTGTGACTTTAAGTGTTAAAGAAGGTATGTTTATTTGAATTTATTCATAGTTTACGATGTGCGGGCTTTGATAAATGAGAGTAACGCAGTACACACCTAGTGTGATATCGCCACCACGTGATACTTAAAAGAACTTTTTTTGTGCAAGATGTCGCTTCTGTTCTCAGTGATAATTCAGTTGAGACGAGGAAGGAACAGACATACAAAGTTGAAAACTGTCAAGAAATAAATCTCGTGCATTAAATTTCCTTATATTCTACCAGAAAAAAACTATGAGTAATTGATGAAGTATACTAATCTATGTGCATACTAAATACTTATTTTAAAAAGTGTTACCAACCCTGTGTAAGAGTGACCTGCCCTGTCTGAGAGTGACCTCCCCTGTCTGAGAGTGAACTCCCCTGTCTATGGGTTAACTACCGTGTCTGGCGATCATACAGGAACGGATGGGTGGCAACAGACGGTTTAGCAATTAGAGTGATATTTATGCAAACTTACAGCACCTTTATTCATCATTTCACCAAAAGATTTGATGTAACGCCTTGCGGAAACATGTCAAGAATTTCACAAATAGAAAGAGGGATCAAACGCCATGTTTTGTCTTCGTTTGTCAAGGTCATTATGTTGCTCTGTTGTTTGACAGTGGTGTAAGATACCCGGC